GTCACAGAGGGAAGCCCGTCACAGAGGGAAGCCTGTCACAGAGGGAAGCCTGTTACAGAGGACACCCTGTTACAGAGGGAACCCTGTTACAGAGGAAACCCCGTTACAGAGGGAAGCCTGTTACAGAGGGAAGCCTGTTACAGAGGGAACCCTGTTAGAGGCCTTTGTGGTGCTCCTATGTCAGTTTAGCACCTCTCTTATTGTCTCGCACTTAAGCAGTTCCTAAAATTCTCATTATCATAAATACTACAGCTAAAAACTGTTGTTTTTGTAAAAAGTTAAAAAAATTACTTTTCTTTCCTTTTGAGTAATTCCTTTAGGAAATAAACTTCTGAAATTAAAACTATTAGGTAAGATACAGTTTTTTAAAAACTCTGTAATCTTTCTACTTTTTAAGAGTTTTTCACCTTTAGGGTTATATGTGGTATATCTGTGCTACGTCTGTCTAAGTTATCTGTTTTTGTTATTTTTTATTTTTTTCTTTCATTTATATGGCCCCAGTGTTGACCACAGATGGGGTAATAAGGTCTAAGAATTTGGGCTTGTTCTTCCTTGCATGTAAGTCATCTGCTTCCTTTTTTCGGGGAATGGCTTTTCTAATTATGATCTAATTGAACAGCTATTTATCCCATGAAGAGGCTCTCATTGAACAAAAGCCTTCATTGTCTTGAGTAGATAATTGCACATGCCCTTTTTTTTCTTGAGACTGGGTATTGCTCTGTCATCCAGGATGGAGGGCAGTGGCATGATCATAGCTCACTGCAGTCTCGAACTCCTGGGCTCAATTGATCCTCCCACCTCAGCCTCAGTTGGAGCAGCTGGGACTACAGGCACAAGCCACCATGCCCAGCTAATTTTTAAGTATTCTGTAGAGATAGAGTCTTGCTGTGTTGCCCAGGCTGGTCTCAAACTCTTGGCCACAAGCAATCCTCCTGCTTTAGTTCAAAGTATTGGGATTACAGGCGAGAGCCATGGCGCCTGGTCATGTCTATCTTTTGATAGTCCTCTGTTAAAGAAGTCAGTAGCTGCTGTACTTCATGCAGATGCCACCTTTCTCTTATGTACATTTGACATACATTTCCACCTCCCAAGTCTTCCTCTTTCTAATCATTTTCATACTGGCATGCTAAAGACATTCTCATACTGGCATCTTAATTACTACCTGAACTTACTTACTAGCAACTTTAAGACCCACCCTTAAAGTTAAAAACATAATAGGCCCAAGTTTGAGACTGTTTCTGAGTGAATCTCTTCAGTCCTTCTCAATGTTCATGCTGTTAACGAAAGCTTTAGTTATTTTCTACTTACGTTGCTAGCCTTTGTTTCCTCTTGTACTGACCCCCATCCTCCCAATATCTGTAGCCTGGATCATCTTCTGTATGTTTCTCTTGCCTTAATCATCCCATTTGAGTAATTAAAGTGTGGGGATGCTAGTGTGTCTTTAGCACTGCTGATTCTGTTTAACACTCAATACTGTTTCTATTCCATATTCTATTCTCTATAGTGTTACATTCCACTGTCTGTATTTATGAGAACATTTGACAATATTCCAGTCCATTATTTTAAAAAATGATTTCTGTTTTTCCCCACTTTTATCAACTTATTCTTGTCTTCAGGTGCTATTATTGCTTCCTCCCTCATTGATACTGTCTTTAAAGTTCTTATAGCCTTCCTCTTTGTTACTACAACTTTAAGATGGGATCTTAAATCATTTTCCTGATGTTTTTGTCACTTGTAGCTAGAGCTTCTAACCTTTTGCACATCATAGCAGTACACAGAGAAACTATTAGTATTTATACAGCACATTAAATATGTGGTTGAGTGTGTTCACACTGCAAGTGGCTATCTCTGGGTCTCCTTGCAGCTTCAGACCCTGCCTGGCTGCACAAGACCAGAACAATCAGCACACCTGCTAACTACTCATACAGAATGGCAATTAGGAAGCTCTGCTATTCGTGTACATGTATAAAATTTGTATGGGTGTACCCTCATGTACACCCATAAAAGTAGTAGCATGAGCTATATTTATACATTCTTATTGGATTTCTGAATTAAATGGAAAGGAAACTTCATAATGTTTCCACATACTCATTAGCTTCTCCCTTAAGAGCCTCTAATTCAGCGAATTTAGTGAACCAGTAAGAAAACAGGATATAACTAGAATGCATTTAGCTTTGTAAAAGCAGATGAGGCAAAATCCTGATTGTGATTTAAAAACCTTTCATGCATTTTGAGTACAAAGATTTTGATAAACAATAAATAATTTTTGCCATTTTCTGCACTCAAAAGGATATTTCTTTTTCTTGTGGGAAATTCACATACAAATCTTACTCAATATAACCAAAATACTGAGATGACACATAAATTATGCTTTCTTTTCCATTTAGGATAAGAAATAAAACACACCTAAGAGATTACTCATATCCTAACTCTCAGAGAAAGCATAAACAAAACCCCACTTTTTTTCTTTTACCATCTGGATCTTCAGCCGGCTGAATGCTCATGTACGGTTCCCCTTTCTCCATGCGAGACTGTCTCTGTCGACTTTCTTCCTCTAAAGCAGCTTCTGCACGACTTTTTGCATTTATGTAAGCAAGGTACGCGGGGGAATTATGATAGGCCTTCATAGATTCATTGTACTCTATCTGAAATTCAAATGTTTTTTGGTTTTATAATTAACATTTTACAGGTTATAATGCACACTTATGTTATCTCATTTGAATATCAAAAGATATGATGTAAACAGGGTGTTCAGATAATTATCTCCTTTTTACAGACAAGAAATCTGAGGCCTTGAGAAATTAACTTGACTCAGGTAGGCAAAGCCTCAGTACAGCATCAGCCTTCTGACCAAATCTTATGTTTCTTTTATAAATAGTAAGCCAGTGTTTTTGTACTTTACACATTATCTATCCCACTGTGAGCCCCTATCCTACCTTTTCTGCTTCGTATTCGTTTAAATATTCTTGTTTTTCTTCATCAGTGAGATCTCGCCACATGCCACCAATAATCTTGCCAATCTCCCACAACTTTAGGTCAGGGTTGGAAGCCTTTACTTGGTCCCAGACCTTAAAAAGAAAACAGATGAAATGTTAATACTGATGTCTAAAGGTATAGACCTTTAAAAATACTTTTTAATATGGAAACTTTTGAACATAAAAAGCAGAGACAACAGTATCAAATTTCTATGTACTCATCAGCCTACTTCAACAATGATCAACGACTGACCAACCTCAGGTTATCTTTGCCCTACTGGATTATTTTAAGATAGATCTCAGACATCATGTCACTCACTTATAAATACTTCAATGTGGGCCGGGCGCGGTGGCTCAA